TTATTGCTAGGAATTTGCCTCTGAGTGCTGCTTTGACTATGTCCCTCCTTGTCCTTTTGGATGATTTTCATGCTGAAGTTACTATTTTTAGGAGGTTAATGTTGCTATTCTTGCTTTTTTTCCTGGTTGCAATTTGCTTCATATACATTCCCTCCCCTCTCCTTTTTCTTTTTAGTCTTACTTTATGTTATCTTTTCAAGTGTGTCTCTTGTAGACAACATATTGATGAGTTTTGGGGTGTTTTTAATCCAATCAATTACCCTTCTTTATTGGTGCATTTAAAAAATTCACATTCAGTCTAATAGTGAGAGACAAAGTTTTATTGCTATTATTTTGTTGATGTGTGTGTGTGTGTGTGTGTGTGTGTGTTGTTGTTGATGATGATGACTTTGATCTATCCACAATTCTATGGCATCGCTGTAAGAAGGAATTCTTTCAGTATTTCTTGCAACATTAGTCTTATTTTCACAAACTACTTTAGCTTCTGCTTTTCTGATAATGTTTTTATTCTTCTTTCCATAATATTTGGTGAACAATTTTTCTGGTTTCAGCATCCTTAATTGATAGTTGTGTTCTTTGTGTGTTTAATATATATCATTTCATTATCTTCTTGCTTACATGGTTTCTGTTGAGAAATCATAATTTATTTTTATTCTTCTTTATAGATTATTCTTCCTTTTTGCTAGCTGCTTTCAGAATCCTCTCCTTCTCTTTGATGCTGGCAAATTTTACTATAATATACCTTGTTGTTTTTCTTTTAACATCTATTCTATGTGTTTTCACTCAGCTTCCTGGATGTATATTCTCTTATTCTTAGTGATACCTGGAAAGCTTTCTTCTAGTAATACTTCTACAACTTTCTCAGTATCTTTTTTACTTCTTCCTTTTCTGGAAATCTGAATTATTTATATGTTGTTTCTCTTGATGGCATCTCACATTATTCTTGGGATTTTTTCCCATTTTTCTTTAAAAAGATTCTTCTTTTTCCCTAGCAGATTAATGCTAAGCACTCCATATTCTGTTTCACTGACTCAGTGCTCCATCTCTTCAGTACTTCTCATCTGTTCCTCCAAAGACAGTTTCTTATATGCTGGTCCTAATATTCTGTACTACTCTTTCTTATTTTGCTATGATTCCTAATACCTCATTGGGGATCAATCATTTTACATGTGATAAAGCTAAGGCTTATATAGAGATGATGTATAGAACCAAAGTTAAATCACACAACTTCTAGGTCCTCATCTAAAATTCTTCTTTTTTGGCCTATGTGGAAATATACAGAGATGGCTAAAAGAATGCAATAATAAAATTCTGCTCAGACATGTCTCTTTACAAATGGCTGATGGCACTAATCTAAACATGTTATAACTGAAGATTATCCAAAATAGCACATCAACAGAGAACTGTCAGAAGTGAAGGCTGGGTTTAGAAGGGGTCGTGGTACTAGGATTATTGTAGCTAATGTTAGATGGATCTTGGCTGAAAGCAGGGAGGACAAGAGAAATGTCTATCTGTGTTTCATTGATTATGCAAAGGCATTTGACTGTGTGGATCACAACAAACTGTGGCTAACTCGGAGAAGAATGGGAATCCCAGAACACTGGATCATGCTAAAGTGAAACCTATACTTGGGCCAAGAGGCAGTCATCAGAACAGAGCAAGGAAACACTGCATGGTTCAAAATTGGGAAGGGTGTACAACAGGGATGTGTCCTATCTCCTTACTTTTCCAACCTATATGCAGAACAGATTATCTGGGAGGCTGGGCTGTATCAGAAGTGTGGCATCAAGATTGGAAGAAGATCCATCAACAATCTGAATTATACATATGACACAATCCTGCTTGAAGCCCTGAAGAAGGTCAAGGACTGCAGACTTCAATATAGATTGAGGCTCAATATCAAGAACACAAAGATTATCATCACTGGGTCAATTGGCAGCATCAGGATAGATGGTGAAGAGATTGGGGTTGTTAACAGCTTTAGTTTGCTTGGCTCCACAGTTAATACTCTTGGTACCAGCAGCCAGAAAATTAAAAGACAAATTGTGATGGGAAAGTCTGCTGTTAGTGACCTCTCCAAAGTACTGAAGAGCAATAGTGTCACTCTGGAGACAGGTGCACCTGATACAGGCCATGCATGGTCTTTGCAATAACTTTCTATGCATCAGAAAGCTGAACAATGACTAGGGATGATAGAAAAAGAATTGATGCCTTTGAGCTGTAGTGTTAGAGAAGAATATTGAATATACCATAGAATGATAAGAAAACAAACATGTTTATCCTAGAGAGGGTTAACCGGGCTGCTACCTGGAGGCAAGGATTCTGAAGCTTTATCTGACATATTTTGTACATTTGCAAGGCAGAATCAGTCCTTGAGATGGACATCATGCTTGGGAGGGTAGAGGGGTAGGTGTTGGAGACAGTGAGATTGGCATAGAATAGAGGTAAATTAGGGCTGTTTTACATAGGGTCGCTATGGGTTGCAGGTGACTTGATGGCATATAACAACAACAACAAAATGTGCATGCAGTACTTTCTAAATTTTTTTCCGTATCATTCTGGTACAGTTACTCAGTGTATTTCTTCCATCTTCTTTTGATGTTTTCTGTTTCATTCAATATATTGCCCAAAGTATCTTTCAACATTGCAATATGAGAGAAGCTCAATATCAGCTGTGAAACCTAGGCTAGGTAATGATTGTGGAACATATCTCCAACACTCATATGCAAGTTCAAACTGAAGCTAAAGAAAATAAAATCAAATACACAAGAACCAAGGTTTGACCCTGAGTCTATACCTCTTGAATTTAGAAACCATACCTCTTGAATTTAGAAACCATCTCAGGGATATATTTGAGGCATTAAAGACTAATGAAAAAAGAACAGATGAGCTGTGCAAAGATGTCAAGGATATCATCCATGAAGAATGTAAAAGGTCATTTCAATGATGGAGAAAAGGGAAAAGACCAAATTGGATGTCAGAAGGGACTCAGAATATTGAACTAAAGCACTTAGAAGTCAAAGCAAAGGGAAGAAATCAAGATGTTAAGGAGCAGAACAGAAGATTTCAAAGGGCAGCAAGGGAAGACAAAGCAAGGTATTATAATGAAATGTGCAAAGAATTGAAGTTGGAAAATCAAAAGGGACATACTTGCTTAGCATTTATTAAGCTGAAGGAACTGAAGAACAAATACAAGCTTCTAGTTGCAATACTTACTGATGCTGTGAGCAGAATGTTGATGACTCAGGAAGCATCAAAAGAAGACAGAAGGAGTACACAAAGGCAATGTATATTATAAAGAATTGACTAACATAGAAGAATTTAATCAAACAACATATGATTGAGAGCCTATGATTATGAAAGAACTTCAAGCTATTTTGAAAGAATTGGGAAAAAGAAGGCCCCAGGAAGTAATGGAATACTAATTGATAGATTTCAAAGAACAGATACTGCCCTGGATGCACTCACAAGATTCTGCCAAGAAATCTGGAGGACAACTAACTGGCCAACTGACATCCATATTTATTCCCATTCCAAAAAAAAAGATGACCTGACAGAGTGTGGAAATTAGTGAACAATATCACTAGTACACAATATAGCAAAATCCTGAAGATTATCCACTGGAGCAGTACATCTGTGCAGGCTAAATTTAGAAGAGGCCATGGCAGTAGGGACATTATAAACCAACTTGGATGGATGAAGAGAATACCAGAGTAATGTCTATCTGTGTTTCATTGACTATGCAAAGGCATTTAACTGTGTGGACTACAACAAACTGTTGTTAACCTTGAGTAGAATGAGAATCTTAGAACACTTGATTGTGCTTATGCAAAACCTATATTGTACCAGGAGGCAGTTGTCAAAACAGAGCAAGGAAATACTACCTGGTTCAAAATCAGGAAAGTTGTATTCCAGTGATGGATCCTATTTCCATGTCTTTTCAATCTATATGCAGAACAGATCATTTGGGAGGCTGGGGTCTGTAAAGATGAATGTGGCATCAAGATTGAAGGAAATCTCATCAACAACCTGTGTTATGCAGATGACACAACCTTGCTTTCTGAAACTGAAGAGGACATAAGGCATTTACTGAAGAAAGTTAAGGACTGCAGTCTTCAATATGGATTGAACCTCAATGTTAAGGAAACAAAGATTCTCACTACTGGGGCAATAAGAGAGCATAATATCAGATGATGAAGAGATCGAGACTGTCAACAGCTTCAGTTTGCTTGGTTCCACAATCAGCACTCTTGGTACCTGCAACCAGGAAATAAAAAGAATTGCATTGGTAAAGTCTGCAATTAAGACCCTCTCCAGAGTACTAAAAAGCAATGATAATAATCTAAAAACTAATATGCTCCTGATCTAAACCCTGTCTTTCATAATAATCTGCTATGTATTAGAGAGTTGGACAATGACTAAAAATGATAGAGGAAGAACCTATGGCTTTGAGCTGTGATTCTTGAGAAGAGTATTGAACATACCATGAACTGCTATGAGAACAAACAGGTCTGTCCTGGAAAGAGTGAAACCAAGCTACTTCTTGGCGGCAAGGATTTTGAAGTTCCATCTCACATAATTTGGGCATATTGCCAGGAGGACCCAGTCATTTTAGAAGAACGTGTTTATAAGGGTGGAGGGACTGCACAAAAAGGAAGACCCTGGATGAGATGGATTGACTCAGTGACTGGGATAGTGGTGATAGGTGTGTTGGAGACAAGGAAATCAGCTCAATATAAAGCAGGGTTCAGAGCTGTGGTACATAAGGTCACTATGAAGCACAAGTACTTTGAGGTCACATAACAACAACAACATTCATTGGGATACTTTTACATCCAGAGGAAGCAATTGAAAGAAGCATGACTTGGGTCCTGTCTATAAATGGAGCTTGAGGGCTAAAACATTTCTCTTCAGCTTATGTTTTCTAATTCATCTCTGCATAGAAATTCTGAAGCACCTCTTGATTCTAATGTAAAACTTTATGACCTTCCTTCTTACAGATCCTCCCACCATCACAGAATCCAAGAGCAATGAAGCCACCACAGGACGACAAGCTTCACTCAAATGTGAGGCCTCCGCAGTGCCTGCTCCTGACTTTGAGTGGTATCGGGATGACACCAGGTATGTTTCACCACTGCTCAGCCAGGGGATCTGAGGGGCTCCACGTTTCCCAGTGATAGAACTGGACAGTTGTATAATTATACAATTGATATTATTAGACTGTTGCTTTTCCATATTTCTTTATCACATTGCTTTGTTAAGACCTATAGGATTTTATCTAAATCCAAAACTACCCAGGTAAAACAGAAAAAGTGAGGTAGGTCAGTCAGTGGCTGGTCTTCTGTTTGCATGCCTTTCTTGCCTATCGTAGAAACTCAAGTCTAATGGAATATGTTCATTCCTGAGTTGTCTTTGTTGGCAAACCTTGATTCTGATAATGTGGAGTATCACAACTAGAGTCTGGAATTGAGCAGAGAACAGTGGACCCTAAGTTCTTCCTTTCTCTCCATTTCCTCCAAAGTAATCATGAGTAAGGTATTATTAAAGGAAATAGGAAGGCTCTTTTGTGAAAAACAGTGTATCAAAACTTTGTAAATAAATCAGAATAATATTAAAAAAAAATCTCATCGGTGTTTGTTTTCACTCTTCTGTTTTTGAACTCTTAGGATAAATAGTGCCAATGGCCTTGAGATTAAGAGCACCGAGGGCCAGTCTTCCCTGACGGTGACCAATGTCACTGAGGAGCACTATGGCAACTATACCTGCGTGGCTGCCAACAAGCTGGGGGTCACCAATGCCAGCCTAGTCCTTTTCAGTAAGTATACAAAGAAGCAGGACCCAATTCCATAGAGTTAAGTTTCTTGGAAGCTGACTTGGAAAGCTGGAAAAATGATTTCTTTCTATACTAAAGATAAACTTATACAAAATAATAATATAATCAATAGAAAAGAAACCACAATGCTTATCAATTGCTATGCATAAAGGGAGCTTTACCAACAGAGTAACTTCTATCTCTATGTTCTGGCTTGTTTCTCATAACTGTTTTGTATAATTTTTTCCCTGTTTGCTTGGACTACAAGAATATTCATCAAACGTATATCTCTTTGGTGATAGTCTCTTTAAGAAGCAGAGGTGACGTAAGAGCCTGGGAATGTATGGCAATTTAAAAAATGGCAACCGTGAGAGTGATTGAAGAAGAAATATTCAGTGAGAATAGATAAGGTGCTGAAAAAGGGAGGCTGAAAAAAGAAAGTATATTTTTAACAACTCAAGAAGAAGGGTGAAATGACTGATTAAAGCCTATTATAAAATCTGGATGAGAAAAAAAATAGTCACAGAAGGTTTCTATATGACAGAGGAGACAGGACTTTTCTGATAACTTTTTGGACAGACATAGAATGGTAGGGAAGAGTATTTCTACAGAAAAAAGTTTCTGAAAGCAGAGTAGGGAAAGGTAATTCCTTATGTTAACTCTGGGGACTTAGTGGTAAGGAGCTGGCAATCCAAAGGCAGGAGGTTTAAATCTACCTACCAGCTGTTCCCCAAGAGAAAGACGGGCATTTTCCTCCAGTGTCATTTCATTTACTGCCTCTGAAAACCTGCAGGAGGGTCAGCTAAGAGTTGATTCTGACTAGATGGTGTATAACAACAACGTTTGACGGAGGATCCACCTTGAAGTCTTGCTCTTAAGTAGTAGATTATAGAGAGTAATTGATTCTTCATTTTGGGCCCTGTGCCTACAGCATAGAAGTAACTACTTCTAAGAGACACATACATGATGGGTTAAATCAGAAGAAAATGTTGAAATTTTAAATACAGGCTTATGTATAGCAATAAGTAAAACCAAACAATCTAGTTAACATATACAGAAACAGAAAATTCATTCTGATCAAAGTTTTATTTAACTTTTAATGGAGAGAATCTACTATTGTTATCATAATTGAATAGTCACATAACAGCAGGGGGTTTTTTTAGATATTATTTACTTTGTTGAGGTTTTTTACTGCACAGATTTAATCAGAAAATCTGTAAAGTCTTTGACTGGGAGACATGTCTTTATCTCACTTTTTATCAGTTTGCAGAAGCCTTCAAGAAAAGTCCATTTAGATGAAAATTCACTCTTTGGTATGGAATCAGAACAGAACGTTAGCCGTCTCTCCACCAGGTTTTCCTAGGCTGTATATGGCAGAGGAGGAGATTAGCTGTCTTTCTACCCCAGAGCTGTTGGTAGATTCATCGCAGCAGAGAGGGATTGCCCTGGGCTCAGCATCACAGCTCCCTAATTTAAGTGAGAGTGCTAGTGAAAAAGGTAGTACTGAAGTTATCATAAAATTATTCACCAGATCCAATTCTGCTTACAGAAAAAACAACCAGCCCAAACAATTCTAAATTTAGCCTTCGGTTCCTCGTTTATAACTCACACTGACTTCAGTTTTTGACAGTTTAATGTGATTTCACTTATATAAATTCTGGGCCAATTTGAAGTTTGTAACATATCCCTGTTTACTTGTCTTTAAAGATCAAACATCAGTGTTCTTTATTTTAGCTTCTTTATCAATATCCTAAGACACGTGAAAGAGTAGTAAGAACGGTAGTTGTTTGCTTCATTCTTGGTATTTTTGAATCTGCTTAATATTCAGACAAATCTAAGGTGACCCAATTAAGTAAAACATATTCTTAATAGAAAGACATCATGGGCATTGAAATACAGGAAATGAGACAATTGGATTAATTAGAGAATATGAGTGAGGGACTATAATTTTGGATTAAAGTATATTTTTTCCTATCATACCATTGACCTAAGACTTAATGTCAGCTGCACGTGGCCTCTGGCTTCTTGAGGAGCCAAAGGTATGGAGGGATCCGGGCACTTGTGGTATTCTTTTTTCCCCAAGTGGGGGCTGGCAGAGCGGACTTGACAGATGAATGTGTGTGTGTGGCCCAGAGTTCGCCAGCATTTGGAAGTGCCAGATAATGCTAAGACACTGTAGGTCCCTCGGGCCTGTGGCCCAAGGGCCTGTCTTTCAATGTTTTTGTTCAAGCATTCTTCTAGGTCGTATAGCGCTGATGTGTCCACTTGCTGTAGTGGTAACTTGTGGTTGCTGTGAGGCTGAACACTGTGACACTGATGTGTCAAATACGTTAATGGTTGGTTACCCATGGCAGACAGTGTTGGGTGAAAATCCCCGATTAAAACAAGCTTGGAAGCAGGAGTGGCATCCATTTCCATAATAGCTTGCCTTCAGGAACCCTATGGACCTGGAGAGAGGATGAAAGACACAAGTGTTGAGGACTTTCCTTCATAGGGTTGCTATGCCTGTGACTCGAAGGCACTTAACAACATCAACAACCATGGACCACCAAGAAAACAAATAGGCCTGCTTTGGAGAAGATGAAACCAAGTGTCTACTTGGAAGCTAGGACTTTGAAGCTCTGTCTCTTATACTTTGGGCATATGGCCAGGAGAAATTGATCTTTGGAGAAGGATATCATGCTCAGAAAGGTGGAGCAACAGCGCAGGAGAGGAAGACCCCAGATGAGGTGGATTGATACAGTAACCAGGGCTATGGGAGTAGGTGTGTTGGAGTCAGGACAGGGCAGGCTTCAGAGCTGTTATATATAGGGTCACTATAAGTTGCAGGTGACTCAAAGACATATAACAGCAACAATAAATTTGATTAAAGAATATGTTAAAAATATATTTCAAATAAAATTAATCCATAGACAATGAAAGGAAAAAGTGGCAGAATGATGAGAGTTTTGAGGAGGAGCGAAAGAGTATGGGCCAGGCCAAAGGAAACAGATTCTGCTAGTCCAATGGTGAAAGGAAATTTCAAGTCCTATCACTCTAGCCTCTTGATGGTAAGGATTTGTGCTGCTGAGTCAAAAGCATGTGGTTCAAATCCATCAGCCACTCCATGGGAGAAAGATGCATAATCTCCTCCTGTACAATTTGCAGCCTCTGAAAACCTGCTAGAGGGTAAGCTATGAGTCAGTTCTGACTTGACAGTACATATATACATGCATAAAAGTCCCAGTTAAAAATAATAGATCCCTATCTTGATGTCTTTACCAGGTGTCTACAATCAGGTTTTGGCCTCATGGTTATGAAAAGTATGGACTGAGGAAAATGAAGACAAAATTAAGTCAAGAGTCTTACAGAACGTCTGTTTGCAAACTGAAAATCAGATAGCTCTGGTGCCACAAAACAATGGTTAAGCATTTAATTGTTAACTCAGAGGTTTGCAATTTGAACTCACCAAGTGACTATCAGAAGAAAGACCAGGAATCTGCTTCTGTTAAGATCCCAGCCTAGGAAATTCTGTCCCATAGTCTTGCTTTGGGTCAAAAGTCATTTTGTTGGCTCCTAACCACCACACTTTCTGGTGGCCCCACACAGCCTCTTAGAGCAGCCCATACAGGTACTAGTTCCAGGTTTTAGACTGTGCAGAGAAAGCATTAGCATTTATTTTGGAATTTATTTTGGACCTTATGGGAAAGTGTGGAGGTTTAGTGCTTCATGGAGAATAGAATACAAAAGGCCATAAGATCTAAAATGAAGAGTAGCTATTAAAATTGCAGAAAAGTAGTGAATGTGCTGCCCTGCTTCTTAGACCTATGGCTCAAGTGTGAATATTTTTTTTTTAAAGGAAGCTCTGCTTCTTTTACAACAGAAATTAAACACCCACTAATTTAGCAGGTACAGTGTTTGGAAGGTGCAATGCTATACTCTGCGAAGCTGGAGTGTGGAGAATGAGGTCCTAAAGTAACATATTTTTTACCCAAAGAGAGTGGGGAAGGAAAAGAAGTGAAAAGGAGAAAGGAAAAGAAGGCAGGAGAGAGAGAGAGAAAAAGAAAGAGAGAGAAGTGTGAAAATAAGAAATTACATGTGTAAGCAGATGTTCTATTTCTAAAATTCAGAGTACAAGCAATGTACTTCGTGGGAAAAGATATTGGGGAAAGTGTTGGTGATTGTATTTTTCCACATATGAGGCTGGAGCTGGAGGGATGTTTGGGGTCAGCCCTGAACTTGGCCAGCCCTGACAGAGAGCACAGTGTGGGCAGTGGGGTGCTCTGCTGAGCAAGGTGGTTCACCGTAGTCAAAGCAGCTGGCAGAGCTCCTACCAAGCAAAGGCAGCAGCAGGTAGAAACCTGGAGCCAGAGCCCCTGAAGAGTCCATGATTATTCATCTTTGTTGGTGAGTCAGCACATTCTCAGCCACATCCACCACAGTCACATGGCTGACTTTTCAGTGTCAATTTGCGGTCACTGACACATTCCATCCTCTGTCTCTTACATCCTTGTTTACTCTTTATTCACATATTGCTCTCCAAAGGGGTCAAAGATATACTTACAAGGCAAAACGACCTTGTGTTCATGGTAACTTCCCCACCCCACCCCCAGGCCAATGGAAGCTTTCTCCACATAGTCCAACATTTGTCAAGAATCCATACAACTCCAATCTATTTTGTGAGTCATATTATCTTTGTATTTTTTCTCAACTTTTGGCAAAGGATTATCTAATGTTCTTTTTCTATTTTACATGCATACAATAGCACAATGTGTGTGGGCAAGGACTGAGATCCTGACTTTGTTGGTTTTTGGGTTTTGGGGATTTTGTTTGTTTGGTTTTGGTTTGGGGTTTTTTGTTTGTTTGTTTTGGTTGTTTGTTTGTTTGTTTTTAGAATAGCCATCACTTAGACTAAGAGTTAGATTTCTGGGGAGGGCAAGAGAAGATCCACTGTCAGCCTAAAAACATAGAAACAGATTCCATACCACACTGATGGCTGAACACACACACATACACACACCCCT